GGGGAGGGGAGCTCTGCCCCCAGGGCTGCCAAGGGAACGGGCAGGAAGGGGGGTTTTCAGATGCTGACATGACTGGCTGCATTCTGCCCTTGTGGAGATGGAAATGATTGGGCATGGGGGATATAAACCTATGAAACGAGCCTCCATAAACAGCTTAATTAAGCTAAGACATCAGGCTGTATTTTCAGTTAAACTGATGGGGTGGCTTTCACGTTTAAATATGACGTGCACTTTTGAATTCTTCTTTTCTCTGAAAAGCTCCAAACGTATCAATACCAGCAGATACAGTGCACGGTTGTACAGTGTAAGAGCATATCATAAAGGACTGAAAAAGTGACAGTTCATAATAAGTTCTAAAATAAAACTACTTCACCGAAAAAGAGTCAAATCAGTTCAGCCTTTAAATGCTCCCATTGTACTTCTCAAACACAATTGCAAAAGTCCAATTAAAGACTGACAGACGAATGGGGGTGGTGAGTTTCCTTTTCCACAGCAATCAGGGTCTGTGTGTGTACACAGCACATCCTGGGAAAACTCAAAAATACCTAACAGTCAAGGTGTTAAAATCAGAACTCTGGCCCCATTTCCTTTACATTCCTGCAAAATGGTGTTGATGCTCTCCAAGTACAAAAGCCCTGGTGCAAGTGGCAGCAGCTCCAAGTTTCCTCTTCAGTTTTCCCTCAGATTGCTACCTGCTCATTACCCAAGAGCTACAAAACGAGGACAAAAGCAGGAATTCACCACACATCGTGGTTATTTCAAGAAAAAACCCACTTTGATTTCTATGTTATTCTCTGGACTCACGTTCATTCACCTTCCAGTTTCATACCTGTAATTTTCTCCAGTAATGAAACATCTTGAACTTCCTGAGGCAGGGAGGCAATTTTCTGCCGCACTGTTGCATCTCCTGATGCTGCATTTTCCAGGTCTTGGAGGGCTTTGATCAAATCCTCAGTCTACAAGACAAGTTAGCCAGCATTAAAAGCAGGTAACTTTAATGCCATTTCCTGTGGATGTGGCCACTGCATCTGAGGTCACCCCCCTCTGAAAGCAACCATTTGGGGAATATTTCCTTCACGTAAGTCTTAACCTGCTGCTCCCTCACACGAGGCATATTTACTAAGCTGACAGTATCCCACTGCTCAGGAACTTCTGCATTATCACAGTAGGATCATCTTTTTCAAGGTTCTGCAGTGGAAAACTTCTCATTCCAATTAAGAGAAGTGATCACTTGAGGCAAAGCCTGAGTCCCTGACCACACCAGCCTCTGGGTTCCATCAGGCTGGGACTACTTCTCTTAGCTGAGCACCCCTGACCCTTTCTTAGAGACTCTCTGAAGTGCATATGCACCTTTTTTTTCTGATCCAAAGGTGCATTCTGGCAGAGAGGAAAAAAAACAAACCCAAATTTATACTAGTCTGAACAAAACCGTGTTAGATTTCCATTGCTGTAAGATTTAGAATTTTGTGACTGGTTACCTGCCATAAACTCTGGTGAGAGTGAAACTACCCCTGCTAAGGCAGCCCCTCCTGTGCCGCTGGTGCTTGGCTCCGCTGGCTCTTCGGAGCTCTGGGCAATCCACAAGCAGACTGGGCTCCACTCTACCCCCTCCACTCCACCTCTCAGCTGCTGACACAAACGTGTCAGCCTAAAGGAACGTCCTCAAAACGTAGCCCAGCTCAAAAAGGATGTGGACGAGCCTTAAGAGGCCTCCCCTGATACACATTTCCTCCTGCTCAAAAAAAAAATATATTAAAAAAAAAGAAAAATTCCCCAAAGAGGAAAAAAAAAAAGTTTCTTTGCTTTAAAAAATGCTGACATTTTAATGGGAGGTTTTTGGAACAAGCATTAGCCCTGTAAACAACACCACTGATGTTTAAACTACATTTCAATAGTTTGAAAATTAATAAAAACACTGAAAAAACTTAAATAAATATTTTTTTTAAATCTGAAAAATGAGTCCATTACCTAATATTTACTAGTTCTTTGCAAACTGATAATGATTTCCAACAGTAACAAAGCCAACACTTATCACTGAGAGAAGCCATAAGCTGCAAGGCATCTGGAGGTAAAAACAAAAAAGCTCACTTATTGCCTTGACAACTGTTACTTATTTTTTCAGTGTTTACAGCCTACCAGATGGAGAGTGCACTTTTTATCCTTTTCAGATAGACAGTGGTTTAACATATGTTCATTCTGCAGCCTCGAATGGTCGGAATGATCCTCTCTTTCATTCCTACTATTTCCACACCACTAATGTGTCAGCCCCAAAATAAAGTCTTCAGTACTGGTTTTCCACACAGATTTATCAAAGGTTTAGTTTTTAATAGCTCATGAAAGATGTCCTACAAAAAACAGAATTAAGTTTTAACTGTTACCACTTTGAGTTTGAGAGATTACACACTGATCCTAGAAAGGATTTAAGATGTGGTGTGTTCCTCCAGCAGCCCCCTGAGATTCTTTACTGGCAGCACTCCTCAGGGCTTGGTTTAGACCACCTGAAGTCGCTGGGAGGTGGCAGGCTGCTCCAGCAGGGGAGGAGCAGCTGTTGCTCTCCAGAAGGGCTCCTCCACCCCCCGCTGCACCGCTCCATTGGCGTTTCTCTCGCTGGCAGCTCCACCTCGTGGCCGCCCCACAGCCTCCCCCCCCAGCCGCCCCACCTACCAGCAGTGGCCCAGCGCTGGGGTCTTGGGGCGAGTAGCTCCCAGGGTAATCATCATCCTCCTCCTCCTGTATCTGCTGGAAAGTCCGCTTCAAAGACTTCTTCTCCTCTGCAACTGAAGACACACATCAGCCACTCACGGGATGCCAGATCCGCCCACCACAACCAGCTCTGCTGCAGAGAACAGTGCCCAGTGCTCTGCTGATGTCTCTGAAGAGCAGGATGACCACAGCTGACCCCGGGGCTGCCACCCTGTTCCAAACACTGGGGTGCAAAGCAGCAACACAAGGCTGATGTTGCCCACGTGTGTCTCTGTAGGTGCCAGCACAAGGACCCAAGGACACAGTCTTCACACCGTTTGCACCACTCACAGTGGACAGAGGAAACTCAAGTACATGTCTGATCTGTCAATAAATGGCAGGTCTCCAGCCCTGCTCAGTTTCTCTGGTTAACACCACGTATGTAGGTGGGGATTTCTGCCAGCAGAAGTGAAGCATTGATGCTAAAATACATACAGACAGGAGAATTTCAAGTTATTTTTGCACCAAGTTTACCTTAGCTGTGGACCCACAATCAACTAAATAACCACTGGGTATGCACCCAACCGTGTAACCACCAAAATAGAGACTTCAGGCCAGCTCTGTGAAACCAGAACTCTAAGATGTGACAGCAACAGCCACAGGCAGAGCATGAACCGATCTTCAGGCTGGTAACTACAGCACTTCAAAATGAGGATTTCATAACACAAGGCAGCGTGGTTACATGAACCCCAGCGTAGCACACCTTGGCTTGAAAGGGATGAGACAGGTTATTTCATGAGTCAGAAGCCTTAATGCAGCCTTTGATCCAGCTACAGAACCTACAGGAGACAGCTCATCCTTCAGACTTGCCACCAAAATTAATAAGAGTCAGGGTAATTTGTAAGAAAGCTTTGGATGGAGTCTTGAGAACATCTCAATGGAGTCAGGTCTTCCTGAGACGATCACAGAGTTCAAGGGCAGGAGTCTGCACACACTTTGATTCACAGGGAAATCCAAGATCATACTTGATGTAAAGTGAAATCAGTCTGCCCAGCTCTAGAGTGGAAGCAAACAGAAAGGTCTATCCTTAAATGCAGAGTTTTGCCTGCCCTGTCAGGCAGACAGGCCTGGAAAAAAGCCCTTCACTTTAATAGAGACAGCCAGAGGTGCTGGACACCCTGCTCGTGGGGGCACAAGGTGGGCAACCTTCCTGAGGGGACACAAACACAGCTCTGTCAGAGAGCAGACTGACCTGGTGCAAGGCAAAGCAGCACAGAGCAGCTACCCTACAACAGAGAAGTTTTGATGTATGCTAGAGCAAAGCTATCTAGGCTAGAAAAAGGTACAGTCTAAGTACTGTGTGTGTACCACTGGTGTAAGAGAGCGCTGGGTAATTGACTGACAAGCACCTAAGATACCAGATCCACCAAAAAATGGGCTGCTGTCCACTGAGGTCTGCAAAAGACACAAGTCAAGCTGAACAGCAGATGTGCAGATGACAAAATGGCCCAGGAGAGTGTTTAAAGTTATGCAGCCCCATACAAAGTGCCATCAGTATTTATCTCTTGTGTGTGCTTACCAAAGTAATTAACAGTGAAGAAGAAAGCCCTGAGGTAATGGACAGAAGAATGCACAGCCACGGTGCACACACCAGTGAGAACAAAGAACTGGGACCCAAACTGCTGAAGAGCTCTTCCTGCTTCACCAACTGGTCTGCCACAAGACAGGGCACCACACTTGCTCACTCTAACACAGAACATTCAGAATTCACTGAACTTTCTGTCTGAAAAAGCCCAAGTAAGTCTGACTGGAAACAGTCTGAAGAAGGTAGGTGCCCACACATCTGCAGTCCTGAGTGCCAGTCACCAGCTGGCCCCCCTGGAGAGCAGCCACCCCCCGAGCACAGGAAAGGCACCTGATGGGACACAGGGGCAAGGAGATCAAGGTCTTTTTCAGTCAGCTCTGAAACAGCATCTTGGGCACGAGTGGCATGACATCAGCATGGACTGCTGCACTGCTTTCCTTGGCACCAGTAAACAGAAGACCCCACTGAAGAACCCTTGAAAGGCCACCTCCATTTCATCAGAACAGGAAAAAAAATATGGTTTTAAGTGGTGGAAAAGGAGCCCTGAAAGAGAAGAGGGAGGCAGGCAGCAGTTATAACACACCCTGCACGGGCAGCTTTCGGGGTGTGCTGGGCAGAGGTATTTAACCACTGCAGCCCACGCTGCTGCAGAAGCCTGTCAGAGCTGCCAGGAGGAGAGGCCAGCAAGCCCCCTGAGCCTACAGCCAGGCAGGACCCAACAGTGGCACCTGACCCATCTGAAACAGCCATGGCTCCTTACTGAGCACAGGAGCTTCCCCCAGGAAAATGGAGAGCCCGTTCCTGACCCAGAGGTGCAGAGGAGACAGACTCTGCTCCTGGAGCTCAGGCAGCTCTCCTGCTGCACTGGGGTCCCCACTGCTCACTGACTGCTCCCCAGAGCACCTCATCCCTCCACAACAGCAGACACTGCTGTCAGAACAGCTTCACAGTGAGCCCCAGGTTGTTGTCATCTTGCTGTTGCTGTGCCTGGAGACTTGTAAAGGTATTTCTCTGCCAATTTTTCCCTCTTCAACCCTCTCTGGTGGTTTGAGGCAGCACAGTGTCACAGATCTCTGTGACAAAGTATGAGTTTTTCCTGTAAGCTGCCAGCTTAGGAGCTCTTCCCACCTGGGGTGCTCACCTTCCTGGTCTCATCCTCAGCCTCTGGCTTTAGAGGTAGCAGCCTGCTCTGATCTGAGCCCAGGCTCCCGTGCACAGCAGAGAGAAGCCAGCTGTGGAGCTTGAATACACACAGTCAAAGGGATAACTGGGAGTTTAAAACTTTGCTCTGCTAAAGCCAGTGGGTTTACATGGGGTTTGGGACCTTCTTTAAATCTCAAGGCAATATATAATTATCATCTTCTCTCATGAGGACTCGATTAAGTTCATCTCCTCATTCACAGCCACAGCACATGTAAGGAACTCCCTGGGACAGAAAACACCTTTCACTGGAGGGAACCACACAAGGGGCTTCTATCTGAAAAAAACAAACACCAAGCCAAACAGTCCTTAATTCTGATGAGGATTTATCAGTCTCAGCCCAGCTACATCACGTGCCTTTGCTAACAGTTCAGCACACAGGTACATGACAAGATGTGGGAGCAGAAGCTTCTGTGTGCAGGGGAACGTGAGGAAGCTGCACTGAGCAGATCCTGTAGCTCTGGAGGGACAGGGAAAGCTGTGACCCAGGAGGTTCTGCAGGTAGATGTTGGTCTGAAAGGCAGCCTGGGTGGATTGCTGTGGGGTTTTATGTGCTGGCAGGGCTGCCATCCTCAACCAGCACAACAAAAAATAACCCTCCCAAAACTGTAACAACTAAAACTCTAAGCACCAGGAGTTTTGCTTATATGACCCCATATAAATTTACATTCTATAGGTCCTCCTATAAACTTTTATGAAAGACACTTTTCTAAGTGGTTTAGGACAAAACATCAAACACAACCACCACCAGCAGACAACTTTTCCCAAGAAAACAGAAGAGAGTCACAGAACACAATCAGGGCAGCTAATGGCCCTTTGGACCCCAACCCTTTGCTTCTCTGGGGGCAGCTGACAGTTGTTTCAGTTCTCATTACAACACATTTGTGGGTAGCCTCTCCCAGGCCAAGCATACCTGGAGGTGATCTGCTCCAAAGTGTCCCCCCAGCCCCAGCAGCTCTCAGGTGCTCGTGGAGGCAGCCCTGCCTGCTCTCCTCACTGCTGCTCTCCTCCTGTTTCATACAGTCTGACTCCTGGGCTGGATCTGCCAGGTGAGCCCAGGCAGAGCAGCTCAGCTCTGTGTTGGCAGGTGCCTCTCCTCGACCAGCACACACTCGAGGATTTCCTTCAGCTGCTTCTGACACAGCTGATGAAAACCTGGCAGCCCCAGAGCACTGAAAGACTCCACACTGAACCTCCACAGACCTGCTTTTCCCAGGCTTTTATATAAACGGGGGTTCTTCCCTTCCCTATTGCTTGTAAAACACTCTAGTAAAAATTAAATTAATGAGAAACGAAATGGGAGCTTAACGAATGCACCCAGAGTTAGAACAATGTAAGGCATGAATATTCAAAGGCTCATTTCCATGTATATGCATGATTTCCTCACAGGACCTGGGAGGCTACAGCAGGAGGGAGCTGTGCTGTGGGGAAGGCCCAGCCAGGGTGGGCAGTGCCCAGGAGGGGCTGGCTGCCCACCCCCCAAGGGGAGAGCTCCCCAGAGCTCCGTGGCCACGGGCACTGCCCCACATCTCCCCAGGCCTGACTACTACTGCAGCCAGCAGCAAGCCACACTGAAACCCACCCTGATGGGCTTCAGAGGTGTCCCTCCTCACCCACACAGCCTCTGCTGCTGTCTGCACATCCCACAGCTCCAGGAGGTGCTCTGCAAACCAGGCAGAGCCATCCTGCTCAGGAGGCACCTGCCAGCCCAGGAGCTGAAGGCACTGCCATGAGAGAGCTGTAGAGAACCACGTGCATGAATGTGCTGCCATACCTTAGGGTAAAGAGTTCTTGTTGTCACAGCACCAGGTACTTTTAAAGAGCTTTAACAGCACAGCCTTGTACTGATCTGCAGATCCTGGCAGCACCTACTTCTCAGCTGTGCCTGCTTTGGGTGTACACAAAGCCAAGAAGTCAGCACGGGTGAAGGAGCAGAGGAGCAGGCCATGCTTTCCCAGGTTTAGAAGAAAGGCTATGTCTGTAAAACATGACATCCTGTCCAGCTCACTCACTTCACCTGTTTGAAAACAGAATAGGGCAACTACAACAAAGCCTTCTGCACCAGACAGTGGCCACTCAGAACCTGGACAGGCACCAGCCATCTTAGAAACTCACCAAACCCCACGTGAAACCAGCTCTTACCATTAACAAGCTAATTTGGAAATAAATCAGTCAAAACAAGGAGAAAAATTCAGAACTTTGCTGAGTTTTTCAAAATCCTTTTTCTAAGTTTAAAAACAGATCAATTTCCTTCTTACAATGAATTGACAAGAACATTCAATATTCCCATTCATGAAGAGACCCCAACAGCTCTCCCAAATAAAAGACACACTGACATCACCAACAGCCCAGGCAAGAAGCACCTTCCTCACCAGGGGAAGACATGCACACAGCACTTCTGAAAACACTCCTATTCCCCACTCCATTCCCCACAAAGGTCTCTCACACTCAGGAAGGGATTGGCTTTTGTCTAAACGTTTCTAAGTCGAGAAGATAGGAGCAGCAGGACTGCCAGGGAGCAGCAGCCAGCCCCAGGCAGCCCCTGGCCAGCCCCAGCCATGTCCCCAGACACACAGTGTTGCTTTGTTTTGGTTAAAAGCCCTACACTTGTGGAACATCTATCTCAGCACCTTAAATTAACAGTTCCAAATCCTCAGTTAAACTGTTCAACAGGAATCCAGGTGTGTAAATTCTGTCCTGCCATGACAAACAGGTGTCTGTGCTGTTCCCCCCAGAGCACAGAGAGCCCAGCAGGAGCTGCCTGGCACAGAGCCCTCAGCATGGGCACCCCTGTCCTGGCAGCAGGGCCAGCCTGGCAGCCAGCCTGGTGTCTGGGGAAGGGGCAGTGCCTCCTGAGCTGCACAGCAGGAGCACAGCAAGCTGGCAGCCCCTGATGGAAGCTGCTCAGGCACCACCCAGGAGCTCTGCCTGGAGAAGCATGTGAAAAAAAAACCAAAACAACAGCCACAAATGTATGTCTGCACATCCAGCTCCATCTCAATGCTCAGGGATTCGTATTAATTCTGTATTAATTGCCAACTCCAGCAGCTTGTTCTCACCACCTAGGAAAGGTGTAAGAGCCCTTTAGTAATGGCTAAACCAACTCTCTCCACGTATCACACCTCTGCAGGGATCAGAGCAGAACTCAGCCCAAGCAGCAAAGTGATTTCAGCTCGTTAGACACTGACAATCCCTGCAGCTGCAAAGTGGACATTCCCACTGCCAGAATACTCTTGAACAACCTTCCCCTCCCACAGGCCAGGCACCCCACTGCTCCCCCTCCTCAGGGCACTGCCAGCTGAAGGGGTGTGGAGGCAGTGACCTGCCAAGGCTGGCACAAGCAGCTCACACCCAGCTGCTCACACCCAGCTGCTCACACCCAGCTGCTCACAGTGCCCCCGTGCAGCACTGAGGCTGCAATCACCATGTGCTAAGGATGTGAAATGGTGCAAAGTTGTGGTTCTACCCAAAGGACATCAGCCAGTGTAAGCAAGGAGACCAGACAGGCTCCTGGGCATATATTCCACCCTTCAACTATGACAAAGTCCTTGATGAATCATAATGAGATATAACCATCAATCTGAGAAGGGGAGCAGGGACAGCATTGAGTGAGCCACTGGAACAACACAGCTGAGCACTCTCAGAGACAGCCTGAGCTCCCTGGGTGGAGCCAGCAGCTCCCTGCACCTCCACGTGCTGTCTCCACACCCACAGGCAGCCTGGACCCTTCTGCCCAGCCAGCACCTCCACCAAACCTCACTGCCAACCAACACAGCCACCAATCAGAACTGTGGGCTCAGGGAAAACCAGCCAGCTCCAAAACAGTCCTGAAGAATCTCCACAACCAGCTCTGGCCACAACTCAGCTGCAGGAGCCCAGAGCTCAACTCCTCACAGTGCTTTCAGTGTGACATGCACCAGTCTAAAACCCCAGCTGAGGCACCCAGCAGAAGGCACAGACACTTACCTTTAGTCTGGGGGCTGTTGGAGTCTTCCATGGAAAGCTTCAGCTGCTGGATGAACTCACTGCCATACACACTCCTCTCCTGCCAGATGTTCAGCAATCGTTCCAAGGGCTTTTTGCAGCCCTCATCTGCTTCTCTGTCCAAGGAGCACAAAATAACCACAGTTCAGCTGGAGGATGTCTCCTGTGCTAAGAGAGCACCCTCCAAAGCAGGAGCTGCACCCACAGCAATATCTGCACGTTTGGAGAGAAGCTTTCTCCTGTTGTCTGAGAAAAACTGTACAAACAAAAGTGTGGCAAATTTCCCCCTCTTATCAGAACCACAGCTTGCCTGAGAACAGCCCCCATTCCCCCCCAGAGCAAGGGCAGGAAAGACTCTGAAGGCAAAAACTTGTTATCACTCAGAATTCACAAGGAGAGCTGTAAAATACCCCTAAGCTGACGTGTTTACAGTCCAGAGTATTAACTTCAAACCACTGTTTCAGTCAGTAAGATCCCAGTTAAAGCAGGTTGGATGGTTGGGCATCTGGATGTGCTCCCAGAGCACCCTGCCAGGCTCAGGGCACACCACAGCCCCTGCACCCAGCCAACAGGAGTCACTGTGCTGCTCAGAGGAAACCTGAGCCAAGAGTCAGCCCAGCTCTGATGGGGAGCAGCCCCTACACCCAGCAGCACAACAGGGAATTCTGCTCAAGCCACAAGGCTGATGAGAACCCAGTGACCCAAAATATCAGCTCTTCAACAGTCTCCTGACAACAGGGATGATCCATTCATTACATGGCTTTAATAAGCACAGGCAGGTTCCCATGAACAGACCTGCCAGACCTTTGGGTACAAATCCAAACAAAGTCCACAGGGGGCACAGGCAGAGAGCAGAGGTGTGATGCCACGAGGGGACAATTCTCACACCAACGAGTCTGCCCAAAGAGAAACAGGAACACTGAACAGCCCTGAGCATAAAGCTGGGAGAATCCATTCCCAACCAGAGGACGCAGGCACCCCTGGGACTTCAAAAACCCCAAACCAACAAAGTCCAATTGGATTAAACTTTGTATAATAAAATGCAAAACTCTAGAAGGAAGAGCTGGAGACACAGGTAACACAGCAACGTACCTGGCAACGTGAGAGAAAGCATCCACAAGAACAGACTCAAACTCCCTGGTAAATTCAGGACCTTTCCTCTTACTGTTCTGGATGACATCGTTTGCTAGATAGAGGAAAGTAAGTTTCCTACTTGATTTTGCTGGGAAAGGTGAAAAAAAGACAGAAAGGGGAGAAAAAATAGAGAGTTTGTGTTTATTTCTCATTTCTTTCACCTGGAATCATTAACATAGTGTCCAAAGTTGCTTATAGCATTTCTGCCTAAAGTTCAAAGTATTTCCAGGTCACTGAGGGCAATCAGTAGCCTGCAAGTACCAAAACAACCTTCTGTTCCTTCCACACACTATAACCTCCCCACCCTAACAGCAGGTTCTGTTTTACTATGGGAGATGTAGATCTTTAGAGCACTCTGGTTACTAACACACACAAGGCAAAACCCACAGGTGATTGTTTTTACAGCAAGCCAAACTCAAATCTTTCAAAACCTGATACTCAATATACAATAAAGAGCAACTGCAGCCAGAGCTCCCCAGCATCACCTGCTCCACAGGGCAGCACGGGCTGGGGAGGTGACACTGGCTGGTTTCAGAGCTGCCCCTGGGGACACAGCTCCACCACCGACCTCTTCAGGAGTCAACTACACAAGTTAACTTTAGTTAATTTGTGAAGAAAAAACGCACGAAGCATTCCAGCTGATACT